TGTTCGCTCTCTGTTGTCATTTCCTACCATCTGTTGAGACCTCTGTGCCGCTAGGCAAGCTACAGCGAAAGAGCACTGGCTTCCACTGTGATATCTTATCTGTGAAGTCTTATCAGTGCCCGTTTCGTTGAAGAAACGATGAACCAAGATTCAACTTCGCGTCATAAAATCTTGAAACATCAGCCCGACTTTCTTCATATTTCAACTGAAGGCATTTCCGTGAAGTACTTTAGATAAAAAGTCATTTATATCCGGATTGGGTTCCTCCTCCAGGCAAGAGTCGTGCATTGACCACGTATAACGAAACATTCTGAGCTCATCAGTGAAGGATGAACAAATCGTAAAGGTTTTATTGCAACTCATAAGAATTACCAAAGGATATATTTTAAAAATCTATTATATTACGAGCGTCTTCCTTAAGTCTAGCGACCTACATTGTTCCGGTACCGCATGAGAAACTCTAGCTCAAATCCTCTTGATCTGACGTATTCTTTGTAACCAATTACAGCCTAGGTATCTGTAGTTTTTTTCTGATTTTGGTGAATAACTGACGCAATCTTAAAAAGAAAAACATTCGTATACCGTCAATATCACATCCGGACATTTAAATTACCCTAAGTTACTGACCAAATTTATTTAACATGCATTGCAATATGACGAACCAACTTCGGCAGGTTTTTATCGGAAATAACTCTAGGGCCATAATTTGTATTGTTTAGAATATCCCTGAGTTCATCTTTAACGTTCAAACACACGATATTACTGTCGTTATCAATGGAAATGTCAAATACGTTCCTAAGAGCTTTCACTAGAAGAATATTAAAACTTGGTCGCTCCTGCAAATATATTTTGTTGCTTAAGCATGAATACGCTGGGCAACAGTGTATGCAATTTAAACAATGATACTGAAAGAATTTTCCTTACCTGACTAATTGAGGCCTCGTTTTTGTTTCTCTTAAGCTCAACTTTTAAAACTTCAGGCTCCGTGCCCTTTGCAGTGAATTCTCACACAAACTTTTCCTGCCGAACAATATGCGCATGACATGTTCGAAGTTGCCTGCTTGTTGACTGTAACCGTGATCAACACATTGCCAAGCAACCAACTTCTTGACACTCCATTGCGCAGGAGTCGTTCAACACTGCAGTTTATAAAACAAAAAATAGTCATCTTCCTGAAACAGTGCAGAAATACGAAAAAACATACAGACCTTTTTGGTTGGGTCAAATAAGAAGAAAATGTATATTTGACCATCATATCACCCACGATTTCCATCATCTCTGAACTAAGTGTGTTGCTTGGTCTTCCTTTGATTTCTCAAGGGAGTTTGGGAGTGAATGGAATTTGGTGGGGGGATTAGTGACTAAGGGTATGGGTTTGCAGCATCTGAAGATATATCTGCGTTGTTAAGACTCTAAAGGAATACAAGGACAAATGATTGAAAACGAGCTTGCATTAAGCAAATTATGTAACATGAATGGACAAGTTTATGTAACAACACTGCCTAAGCTGTATAAAGTTTTAAACACCACTTCTTATATCTATTGAAAATTTAGCAAGCAATCTCCGTGGCCATAGAATGACATGTGGACTTACTTTTGTAATCAATGGCACGAATTGTGTTCTTACAACAGTGGACAGTTGACAAACCAGGATGAAATGACATTATCCGCAGAGTTACGTGTATTGAGAGTATCTAAGGTGAAACATATCAGTTCGTTTATATTTTATTCAATTTCACAAAGCCAATAATAAAAAGTTTGAGATGTTATCGCGTTAAACAAACCTCGATGATGCTGTGTGAGGCAAACATATTCCAATGACTTGTTTCAAATGGATCGCTGTGAAGTTTTTGTACTAATCACGAAGCTTTGACAATGCTATTTAAACGTTTTAAAAGAATGTTAGCAACTTTTCGTCGAATACGATTGAGTGTTTATACAACCTAGCTCTCCTTAGGGGGTACATTGATATTTCATAAAAGATTTCTTAATTTACGTAACTTCAAGAAACATACCAGAGAGAAATTCTAACAGTGGTATGACAACTTGAGGCGTTGGCGAAAGTTTAGTAAACTTTTCCAGATATGTTGGGAGCAGCCTAAGGACAGAAAATTTAGAAATTATTACCCAAATAATCTTGTGAAGGAGTATCTCGCATAACAAGAGACGTTACATTTAGGCTGGAGTTTATTGAAAAACATTTCTGTAAATTCACTGAGCACATTATCAAGGCACGATTTCAAATATCTCGAAAGTAATAAACTTCTAAAACGCTGCAATTACTTAAATCAACTTCATTCTTTACAAAGTGCTAATGGACATAAAAAACGTCTCAAATTCCAGACAATCTTAAGTAGCCATACCTTGCCATAACTGAAGACATTTCTAACATACATATGGTGAGACAAGATACGCTTAACGTCGTGGAATGAGCAACCAAACCAATCTCCAAAGTACGCATCAGACAAAACTAGACGAAATATACAACAACGTTTAAGCGAGAACAGACAACCGCTGAAAATAAAGTGAAGCAGGTTCTTACCTGTTCATCTTGCCCAATAAAAATGTGGTACGTACACAGCTCTGTTAATACCTGCACATGTTACAATAAAAGATCCAATTAAATCATTAGTATAGTATGATATAATTATGGTATAAATTGGTTATGCTATGGTATGGTGTGATATAATTATGGTATGATATGGTTATCGTATGGTATGATTTGGTCATGGTATGGTATGGTGTGATATAATTTTGGGATTATATGGTTATCGTATGGTATGATATGGTTATCGTATGGTATGATTTGGTTATGGTTAGTTATGGTATGATATGATTATATGATATGATTATATGATATGATTATATGATATGATGTGGTATGGTTATGGTTATGGTATGGTATGGTTTTGGTATAGTTATGGTAAGATATTATGATAGATGCAAAAAACTGAATGATAAGAACCGTACTGGAAAAATTCTAGCGTACAAATGAGGTCGGCGCATATCATGAGGAACACGAAATAATCCAGGAAGAAAATCATAATTTCAAACCTGAATGCAAAGTAAAATTTTTAGTTCATGATTTTAGTGTGAAAAGTGCACAACTTTACATCCCTTACCATTTTAGATAACACTGTACATATTGAACGTAAGTAGTGCTTTCGAGAATGTATCAAGTTTTTATCTTGCAGTGCCTCCGGAAAGTTTCTCAGAACAACATCCAACACCTCCCATTCCAATTTCTAGAAAATGAAGAAAGTTGAACTTCAATCGAAACTTAATGCCAGATGATATATTATGATAGAAAAGTTTACCTGTTGTAAGCACACAGGAATAACATTCATCGCCTCGCTGTAAGGCAGTGAAACAATCCCGGTTGTCTTATCTTCTGCAGAACTAAAACAAAAATGAGAATGTATTACACTAACAAGAAAAGGAATTTTGGAAGCAGAATACCTGACATGCCTTGCACTATCATCATTAACCAACGTTTTCCTTTCAGAACAATTAACATACGAAGTGAATTTGACTTTTCCACTTTTGTCTTGCACAAGGCCTTGACGTTGTCAGCTCGCAGACTGAGAAAACATTGAAGAATCTTTACAAAAAAACAATGTAAGATATCATAGAAAAATCGCAAGAAATAACATTGAATTTGGCTTACCACAAGTCGTATCTCCGATGCAATAGACGTCCGATAGCCATTGTCATAATGAGTTTTTATGTGGTACACTAATATATTGAATATTCGTTCTGCAATTACATAATAGGAAAGGGAGAATAAAAAAAAATTATATAACATCAGTGTAAAATGAATGATGGAACTGTACAGAAAAATATGGTGTAGGCATAACACGTGGCCCTGCGAAGTAGTTGGCACTAAGAACCATGCTGTCATGCCTGCCATCACCAGACATCATCAGATAATCTTGGTTTTTTAATGTTGAAAATAATCCGTTTTGATACTTTTTCCTAGGAAGATATATCACAGGGAATATTTTTTTCCTACAATTATTATATACAAGTACTATAATATCTAATTCCCTTCTGGTCCCTATTAGGCTATTACTCCTGACAATATTGTCGCACAGAAGAAAAACATTAAATATCTCAGCAAGTATTTGGGCTAAAGACCCCGGAATACCAGTAAACGATAGCGGTTAAAACGATTCTTTGAATAGTATATTCCAACCAGCATATAGTTATAACCTGCATTTGTATTATACGTGAAAATAAGAATTAAATAATAGCTTGCTTTGTTATCTGAAATTACTCACCCATTGCAAAATATATTTTGGAAATTCCATATTTTTTCGCTTTTTTGGTCTCTGTTGTCTTCAAAATGTCTAGAATTTGACATGTTATCATTCTGTTTTAAATCTGAGTAATTCTTGGTGTAGTATGTGCAAAAAAATCAAAGAAAGAGCAATTTATAAGTTCTAAGCGATAATCATTGCTAATCACGCGTGCTTAAGGCAAGCTCGAATCGGACCTAGGTCAGATTTTCGGCTTTTGGCCCGAAATTTTTCACAGGACGAAAAGCGTGCCATTAATTAGCTTTAGCAAAAATACTAAAGGTATTAAATGCGTATCTATAACTTTTAATAAGCCGACTAAAGGTGATTAAAGAAAAAGTTACATTTAATCGCATTTATTTTGAATAAAACATCTCTTTTGGAAACCGATAGATTTAATTGCATTTAGTGAGCATTTTAAAGTGGGTTAAAGCCGACATTAGTGCGCGTATAGTTTAATAAACTTTAACCAGTTGTTTAAATGTTGATTAAAGGCAGAGATAGCATTTAATCACCTTTAATTTGATTTTAAATGAAGACAAAACCTGACACCTACTTTAATTCCGTTAGGACGGCAATTTAATAGGATTAAATATATTGTTATTGCAACAATTATATGGTAACAAATAAACATGATGATATCTGATACGTTTGTTATTATCGAGTAACGTAATGCTATAATGCGCCTTTATTTCACCTGAATTTAAGCACTTCGAGACACTGTCGGACAATATACAAGAAATAAGAAAGACTTCTTATTGTGCAAATTCGCTCATTAGTATAATTATAAAGTGCGGAAGTGATTGATATACAAGTTTATATAAATTTGGCCAAAGTGCGTGGCAGTTATAATACGATATGGATAAGGCGAACAGTTACGTGTTTTGCGACCACTGCGAACAAAACGTTTCGGAAACAACATTCCGTAGACATATGGCTTTAAAACAATCTCGCCAGCTGAAGAGAAGTTTGAAGAAAGATTCTTCAACGTCTTCATCCGACACAGACGGAGAAAGTGATTGTAACAGTTACAGTTTCAAAGGTGAGAGTGTTTTGCATGCAAGTCCATAATATACAGCTATATCATTATTAGCACACTGTCCACCAATTCCATAAATTCAGTAACCAATATGTATGGCTTTGATTGTACATTGATACCAAACAGAAATGGCAAACCTTATATAAGAAAGTATTATGAAATTATAAATAAATAAAATAAGTCATGAGTCTTCTTGATTTCATGTACAGTACAATTTTACACAATCTGAATACAGAGACATTGAATGAAGTTGATCATGAACAATCAACTATTAAAGCAGAAGTTTCTCAGCTTTAATTTTGAGTGAAAATACAAACTTCAGGATCAGTTTTGCTAGAAGAGTTCCCATACTGCTAATCATTATTCCACATGATCATACCTAACGGTAAACAGGCCTATCCCCAACATTGATAATTGGTGGTGTGGGGGGGATGGGTGTCATTAATATATCCATGTAAATATGAACATGAATATATGAATATCACACCCCTCCCAACTATCCACGTAAACTCTGTTACAGTGCCGTAAGTTTCAAGTATGCTGTAATCATAATAATTAATCATTTTCATACCAGGGTGATCAAATGAATTAATCATCATGGCTTCCTTTTCCACATCAGTTCTACTTGTATGGCTTTTAAACTGTTTCACAGCAACTACATGCCCTCTGTACATCTTTTTTACACAGGATGCCAAATGTCCCCTCACCAATTTTATTTTTTCGTCCACTTGACAATATTTTCAAGTTGGCTGGGTCAATTTCATGGATAGACCTAGAAAAATTTAAATAAATAAAGCCAGGTTGATAGAAAATATTTAGGCTTGAATATTGTTCAGCTTAAACTGCTATTCAGTATACTAATAGTTGAATGCATAAGGTGGCAATGCCCCCTACTTATTTTTTACTTGTCTAATGTCAGATTATTTCATTTGTCAGGGGGAAGCTCTGCCACTTAATGTGTTAACTACAAAAGCTGACAATCTCTCGAGTTAACGCATTAAGTGGCAATGTGCCCGGCATGCCCTACTTATTTTTTACTTGTCTAACGGCAGACAATTTTACTCATTAGTGTGGAAGCTCTGCCCCTTAATGGGTTAATATAAAGATCAAATGATCTTCAAGACAGTGTTGTTTCATGAATTGACAGCTACTGTAAGCACAACTATTGTTTCAAAAGGTTGGAGACATATGGTCATATCTGTAGCTAGCATTTCATGAGTACCCCATTAATGTTCAAATGCTTTCTCTTCTTAATTGGCCAGTACAATAGTAACTCCAAACGAGCAGAACATTTTGAGCACATTCTAGCTTCGGAAAAAAAGCTAGTAAAGTGAGCTAAAATTTACAACATTTCACAACCAAACTTTGAAAATATACTCAATTTAGTATGCTCTTTTCCAGCTTTGGTGATTATTTGAATCTCCTTGTCTATTTCAGTCCATAATTGGAATTGTCAATTGTGTCTAAAGTTTTTATGAATCATGCAAGATAAATGTACTAGGGACAGAGGATTCTAAATACTATACTATTACACCATTTATATCAGACCCCTATGTACAAAGGCCCAAATCAAACATTCATCCCATCGCTTTCCACCCACAGCAAAGTTTGTATTGAGTATTGAATGAAAAGTTGCAGGGGAAATTTAAATTTCACACAAAATTTGAATTATAGTTTGATCACTGTATCATCATTCAATCAAATGCAGATTCAAAAAGATTTTGTCTAATCGGGCAATCAGACAAAAAAGCCTGAATCTGGCTTTTTACATGCAGCATGGTAAAGAATATATCAGGTCCTCCTTCATTTGTCGCTGCCAATCAATCATAGCGAATGAAACATACTGTAGGCCTGGGCATGATACTTAGGTTACATTGTGTGGTCAATGTTCCACTTCATTTAATAATAATAACCCCTGCCTAAATGCAGTTTTCTAAGATGTGGCCAGAACTGGCCAAATGAATTCTGTTAAGGTTGGAAAAAAAATTTCATTTCTGCAAGGGGTTCTTAAATCCAGCGTTAAAAAAGCACATATTAATATTATTCAATCAAAATTGCTTAGATTCTGGAGGGTCAAATATACTCCATAAGGGGGGGGGGGGGAAATACTGAATATAATGTGGGGTGCTTTAATGCAGTATAACAGTATTAAGTAAATACACACAAGTTTAGCAATCTTATCGATATAACCCTGCTTCTAAAACTGCTCAAATTAAATATAAGGAGCAATACATGTACTTACATACGAGACGTAGTACGCAAAGACTTTCCTCTCACTTTCTCCAAAAAAACTCGGCCTTCGATCTCATTTCAGTCGTTGTGGCTTTCATTCTTTCTCAATATTTTCTTTATTTTCTTCTCCAGCCGTCTTTGCTTGACATCTGGTCTCTTTACGTTTCCTTTCTCGTAATTTCTGTTACGTCGGCGACGTTTAAGGCGCACTTCCTCGACATTATTTGGTCTGGAGAGACGACGCTGCTTTCGCAGGTATAAACAATTCTGTTCAGCCTCTGGGTGGCACTGGGCTTTTAGCTTCCAGAAGGCTGCGCATTCCACTGGTAGCAAGTGCGCCACTCGCTGTGTGGAAAGACTGGTTAAAATGTGCCATTTCAACCGGTTTTGCGCAAGGTATACCACCAAAAGCTTTACAGAATTTTTCAATTTAGGCTTTTCAAAATATTTGTCGTTCGTTGTCATTGCGCCCAAAGTACGTAATGTGTGCTTCCCGCGCTTTTGCGTTATTTAACAATTATGAATTTATGATATTTGTCTCCGATCGGATAACTGTCCCCTATAGGGTGGGTAGGCAACTCATAATATGTCTGTTCTATAAATAACGCGACTAAAACAATGGCGGATTATCGTTGTAGAGGAAATGTGCACGGAATCAATTTTTAAATGACTTAGTATTCGTAAGGAAGCCCAATTTACATTTAGGCCAGTGCTTTTCTAGGTTATCTGGGTAAAGACTTTGATGTTCGTGTGTTATACCTAACGGAAGAAATATGATAACGATAGAATCCTGCTGTGAAAGTTTTCTACAACCAATGAAATATTGGACGTGATCGCGCTCAATTATAAATCTACATACAATTCAACAATCAACTGTGTCAATGTGTTCAAAGTCCTTTCGCGACAAACAGCTGAATCTGACTTCACTGGATTTTTCGACATATCCACTGAAATGTCTTTGCCCGATCAGTACGTTTTATTATTACAAAATGTGGTCGAGGAAAACAGGCTCTTGAGAGCTCAAATGGCTAATACCATTTCAAGCAATGAAAGTGCTTTGAAAAATATTGAAACAAAAATGGACATCTTGTCCCAGACAACTTCACCTGGCAGACGAGTCAGACAGACCGGGCAGAACAAACATAAAGTGCCCAAAGCTTGCAGTGTAAGTAAATACAGTTTCATTTTTTCCTATTAACCATTTCATCTGAATGGCTTTATGCCTTTATCCGTTGACCGTTTATGTTGAATAACAGATTTTAATAATATGAGGACAAAAATGTCCATATTGTTTGAATTGGTCTTTGTTTATATATAGTTATCTTTGTATGTTTTAAAGTCTTTATAAATGTCTCCTTATTATGGTAATATAATTATATTTACTATCAACCTATTCACTGCTTGTACCATAACACTAAAGGAGTAAAATGTCTGGTGTTACACAGAGAAAATCCAGGGGGCATGTCTAGGCACATTGCCACCAATTTAGGCTGACTTTTCAACTAAATGTTCAACTAAAAGCCAACCAAAGGTTTAACAGAAATCAATTGTAAGAACTGTAAAACCATGTTTAAAAAACCATTATTTTTAGATATTTAATTTTGAAAATGTGTTTACTATGTTCTTCAATAGAATAATGTCCGAAGAAAACTCAAGGCTCTTAGGAGTGCTGATGAAAATATGCACTTTAGATTAACTGAAAGGTAATGCATAAAGGCAACTTCTTTCAAATACTAATTTATATTAATAAAACTGGTGAAGTCATGTTACCGAGATGATGTACATTGTTTACCTTTCCGATGTTACTATTTTAGATTGAGTCTTATCTTATTTTTATTGATTGTAATTAATATATTACCAATTAAGCACCAGCACTCTCCCTTAATGAGTAAAATAGTCTGGTGTTAGACAGAGTAAAACGCCAAAGTAGGGCGCATCAGGGCGCAAACTTGATGGGTAACCCATTAAGTAGCAATGTGCCCCAGGACACCCTACTTATATTTTTTACTTGTCTATTGCCAGACGAAATACTCGTCAGTGGGGAAGCTCTGCCACTTAATGGGTTAAACTGCATATTAGACTGGAAGTTGTGCTGACATGCTATAAATATAAATTATACCAGTCTTTGAAATTTTGTTTGAAGCCTTCAGAATTCTATGTGAGGCCTTCAGAATTGTGCGATATATGTTGAATTCAGAACATGTGATAATTATGCAAAATTCTGAAGGCCTTAAAATAAATTCATAATGGCATACATAAAATTCTAAAGGCTGGTATATTTTAATAGTGTGTCCCTTTGTACCACGTACAAGAACACTATCTTTTGAACAGTAACTCTCAAACTGAGCATGGAAGTTCGACAGTATGCTACACAGGTTAAGCACAAGTAATAATTTTGAACTAATTAAGTTTCTTGTTTCTAGCCCCGATTCTCAGCAAAATTCACAGCTATTTAAAAGAGTGGCAGAAGAACTGCAACATGAATTTGGTGGTCAGGAAAATTGTCCTTGGCCAACGGTTGTTTTAAAAGGTATATACTCAGAGTTTTAACTTGTAATGTAAAAGAAATATAGCAGCAATAAATCAGTTGACTAATATGTTCCTTAGTTCTCCAGTCTCTGAGTATAGACGTCTAATAGGATAGGGATTCAACCCTTTTTGCGGGAGTCGTGTAATTTATTTTAACAAGGCGCATCCAATGAATTACGACATATGAAAACCAGGTTTAAACCTTCGTCACAGGGAAAACCTTTCTCTGCGCTGGTGGTGCCCCATACGCACAGCTTTTTTGCAACTATGTTTTCAAATTGGGTTTTCCCTCGTGAAAGTAAGTTTCCTAGAAATTAGGGCCCTGAATCTAGAAGGTGATTGTTGCTTTTTTATGTTTTAGAGGCGTTTAAGAGGTATTTCAAGTCATGCAAAGCAAAACAGAAAAGAGTTGCTCTTGGAACAGAACAGCAACACGTTCAAATTTGCAGGAGAAGGAGCAGAAAGGAGGAGGTATGTTTTTACAATATCTTTTTAAAAATAGTTGATACTTAATGATTATTTTAGCTTTGCTTCATACTTGATTGAACACGACTATCTAACTACTTTTAACGTAACAGTTAAACAGTGTAGTAGGTTATATGCAACTACATGGAAAATAAGAAAATTCTTCGATGTTTCGAGCGAAGCCCCATCAAGAAGTTGGTTGTAGTACTTAGTTGGATAACCTACTACACTGACATGTAAGACTCGAACTCCGAAGAGAAAAACCACCGGAAGCAAAATTAGCAACTGGATTTTAGGCGAGACTATACTTAGCACCACAATCCCAAACACTTACCCAAGTAAGAATATAATTATTCGACGATATTTGCTTTTAGAAACTAGCGAGAAGATTAAAAACGATCGAGAAAATGGGTTGGAACCAGACGAAAGTGGCAAAGGTGGCAGACGTCATGAGAATGGACTATATGTCCTCTGAAAAAAGCGAGGTAGACGAGGAAACAAATAGGATTAAACACTACAAGGTTCGGAAGCTTTCTTGGGAAAGCAGAGAATTAAAGCGAACTAAGAAGAAGCTTGATAAAAACCACAAGGATTCGCTACCTGGATTGTCCAAACGAGCTGTTACACCAAGAGAGGAAGGAGAACCCTCCGGTAAACCAAAACCAGCCAACTGTCCTGGTTGGGCGTGTGTTGTTCTAACTGAAGACCCGACAAATGAACCAGTTGGAGCACAATATTTAGCCGAGGATGATTTGAATCTGTCACGATAGACTCTTTAGTTAAAAATTGCTACAAAATTATTTCAGTTACATGTACATTGACGATGGACATCCTAGAAGATGCAAATAATTATGTATGCTAGTCCGATGCTCTACCAAATGAGCTACAAGGCCAAGTCGGTTCTTAAATATATGTTTACTCCGAACTCAAAGTTCAGTGCCCTTGTTTATTGGTCTCTAGACGCGCAATATATTTTTGAAAATATATTGGCTATTGCGCGTCTGGAGATCGATGCACTGAACTGTAATTTAATTGTTGAAAACACCATATTATTCACCGTACCAGAAACATCACATCATGCAATAATATTAGTATAGGAATCATGGATGTATACTATACATTACGACTTATCTATTTATTTAAAATGATGAATTTTTGTAAATACACGGGTATAGAGGGAAATAAATGCTTTTTTGCAATGAACTGGTGATGCTTGTATTTGTTTGACTATAGCTAGCTATACGTGTAGCTTGTACCAAATATAACGATTAGAAATTTAAGTTTTATTGCGAGTTGAGCTTGTAATTGAATGGAAATCAGTTTCTTCGTTTATTTACATGGAATAGGTTATATAAGTATAACAGCCATGCAGCTAACGAATTAACAAAAGCTGAATTATTGTGAATATAATAGGTTAATTAAAGACAGTTTAAATGTGCATTTACGCAAGGTTTAATCAATGTTTTAAGGCGATTAATCTATACTTATCTCACGCTTTATCGACCTTTAAACAATGTATTAAATCTACTTTTAATACACTTTAGCCAACTAGCACATTTATGATTAAAATCGACTTTAGTAAAAAAAGTCAAGATATTAAGGGCAATTATACGTTCCTTTAAACTGCCTTAATCTGCATTTAATCCACTTAATTAAATCTGCCTTTAGCACACTTTAATCAACATTTAGTCTTAAGTATTAATCCCGCCGTTAATACACTTAGTACTGAACATTAAACGTGTCTAAAGGTGTGTTTAGTGTATTTAATAAATCGCATTAAGTGTAACTAAACACCAATAAAATACACGATTAATCTGCCTTTACAACCGTATTAAGGGCACGCTTTTCGTCCTGTGTTTATTATTGTGAAATATTATTGCCGGTGATGCGATAATTCATATCATCAGGTATGTTTATATAAAAAATGGGCAAAAATCTTCTAAAGGCTTGACTTTGACGCTAAAGATATCAAAATAATCCTGAATATGTGAGCTAAACCACTGCAACCGGTTTTCGTTTGCATTTGGGCAATATCCAAAGAATTAGGCCGCTTTGATGTGTAATATTGAATATATACAACACGTGAATATCGTAGCTGTGAATAGCTATGTATGCATGGCGGTAAAACGCCGTATTTCCACTGGAATTTGCAATATTTAGCCTTAAAATTTACTACATTTGCGAATTTGTCAGTTTGCTATATTTACTATTATTCCATGCCATGCCCAATTCTACAATATTCTGAAAGGTTCAGTAGTTAAATGTACCACAGAATTCAAGTGCTACAACAGTTTGAAAGATTTACTTGCCTTTTAAATTCCGACTTTCCTGTTCGATGGGGTTCTAAAGCTGGTAGGGGAATAAAGCCTTTTAATAATGATTGAACTGTAATTTTTTGTGAACTTCATGAGAGAAATAATGGAACAAATACACTCATACTGTGATACATTGGCTTGGAATATGGTCCAAAACGTGTGAAATCGAACATTTGTTGTGCAATCACCTTGAAAATATCAAAGAAACGGTATCAAATTTTGAATATAGATTAACCAATCTGATTTGTTTTTATTGAACCAATCGTGGAGTACAAAAATTGACCAATGACAAATTGACCTGTGTACAGAAATAACCAATCAAGTTGTCTTAATTTTGCTGAATTATGCAAGAGCCTACAGGCTATAAAACAGAGCCGTCTGCCACCGTTTTTCTCAGGTAAGTGAGTTCTTTCTTTAGGTAGGATCAAGGTATGTATAATTAATTTTTTAAATAGAAGTAGACCCCGTGGCCCCACTGTTAGCTAAGAATCTCTCTCCCCGTATCTGGAAACACGGCTCACTGCTTGTCTAACTGTGTTTTGCTTTTCGTTTTCTAGGGAGCTACTAATAATTTTTTTTTGTGTTTTTCAGACAAAGACGATCGTAGTTTAGTTTCAGTATCCAACCCTAAGAAGCCACCCCATATCCATGCCGTCAGTTAAACCCCAGCCAGCAATTGCCTTCATGCTAATTGTGATGCTTAATTTTCTAGGAACAACTCACCATATTTTTGTCGTTTCAGCTACAGAGTTAGTGGGTTGTGGGTTGTTGGATGTTGTGTCGTCGGTTGTGTGTTTTGTGTTGTGTTGTGTTGTACTGTCTTGTCCTCTACGTTTCGTATTGTCTGCCAGTCGGTTTGGGAGAAGCCCTGTAGCTCTCTCTTTTTCCTGGCCACACAAAGAACACATTTTGCGGATACTCCTTTTTAGGAGTTCATGGGTTCGAATCCCATGAATGTGTCAATTTCGCGCTGATATCTAATGTGGTCCGTCTCAAATACAAAAGCACAACATCCAACGGACAATCTGCATCCTTTCATCACACCAACTACAAGTGTTGTCATCATACAACAGAATTGAACTTCCAACGGAGCAAAGAGTAACCAATACCCAAGATGAAGTTCTTGTACCTTCTCAAACAGGACAGAATGCGGCACTTGTTAATGAAGTATTCTCGATGTTTAAGGGATCGTCTCAGTTAGACGTCCGATCAGAGGATATTTCAAAGTGGTAAGCTCATTTAAACTTGTGATTACTCTGCGAATACTTCACCCATTTTAATAAATATGAGACCACTAAACTTATTGCTGTCCGGTCGTAAACGGCGCACACAGATAATTTCGGTTTTATCTGGAAGTGTTTTATCAATTCAACTAGAAATTGTATTATCTTAAAGAAAAAACATTTACCTATTTGTATAACTTTAGTTCATTTCAAAAGCTTTCCTATAAGCAGAGATATTTATTGCAGAACTTGTACTTTTTAAATTGAATGTTAGAGAAGCAAAAATACGCAAAGCCTTCCAAAAATCTCGCAAAAAACCTCCAAATATTTGTAGCTTACATTGGGATCAATATTTTCATATATTTTACTCGAAATACAGTTGCTTTGGCGATTTGTAGTGATATTTCCAACAAATGTGTTTACAAACGGAAACCCGAAAATGTGCATATAATTATCACCATATTAACGAAAATTTGACAATTATGACCTCTAGAGACAATTTTACCCAGAAATCGATTTCTGGGCTTATTTTACCCCCACGGGGTAGGCAACATTACGTTTTTGACACCTCTAACCTCACGCGACAACCACTTGTGCATGCAGCTGAGCAACGCCTCGCTATACACAATAACAAATTAAAAAATCTATATTTTTCGAGTTTTTCTGCCCATCCTGACTTAAATCCTATCAGAAAAGATAACTAATGCCTTTACAGTTTATATGTAACGGTTAAAAGACGACAGGATAAAAAATAACGAAGAAAATAACGAAATTCTAAAGGCGAGTTATATTTCCATTTTGTAATCCTGTGTAATTTGATATGATTTTTAGAGCTGCACTGCAGTGTCAGGTTAACAACAATATTGATTAATTTCTTGATTAGAAATTTTCGAGCTATATTTTGGTGGTATTTTTGTGCTTTTTAAATTAAACGGATTAATTTCAACATTAAAAAACCAAGATGATTTCATGATATCTGGTGATGGAAGCATGACAGCATTGGTCATAGCGCTAAGTATTATGCGTACACAATATTTCACTGGTGTTATAAAAAAAATTTTTTTTTCTCCCTTTCCTATTATGTAATTGCATTTACCAATATATATGTAACTGTCAGGGGTGGGGGTATTATGTGAATATGAAAGAAAACAACCTGCATTTTGTTCTGTATATTCTTGTGTTATAGAAGTCAAAAATACATGCTGTTACTATATTGTATAGTCCCTTGTGATTCATATACAATTATAGTTTCAATTGTGTGATAGTTATGTTTTTGTAATCTCAATTGCAGATTCTATGGCATATAGAGTCGAATTGGTACGGCAAAATATCTTTGAGAATTGAAGTTTATGGCGGTTCTTCAGGTATGTTCTGGCAATTCACTGAAATACTATTTGTTCGCTAAGGAATGTTGTCCCATGGTAGCGGTACGCATGAACCTGGGATATCACAATGCTGATAGCCTCACAACCCTGGACAATAATATAATAATTTACTTGTTCCTTGTGTTTCAATTTTAGATCAAATAAAGTATGGCAACCCAGGAGTTGCTAACAATTATTACCTTTCTCTTATCACTGACTACACCTCCATCCATCGCTGTGCCATACATGGATTTGATGGACTGACATACCAAGCAAGGTAAATATTGCAGGCTACATGGTATATGTTCAGTTTATTATTATGTCATATTAGGACTGTTGGACATTATTTTTTTATTCAGTAATTCCCCTATATGGGAATGTGATAAAATTCGATGTTAACCCCCAAGTAAAGATTTCACAAAATCAATGGAAATAACGCTGTACCTCGACTGGTTTCAATTCTGGAGGAGCCGTGTATGGCAAAATTATATGCATTATCATTTCATTTTTGTTGATGATTGTTCGATGGTGTTTTGGTGCCAGAAGATAATTGATACTAATTATTGGCCCACGTACTGAAGACACATAACATCCCAGATAATAGCAACAAGTGTTGGGAATGCGGATAAGTCGACAGGACATGGTCGCTTAAATGAGGCAGCTTCCTGGTCTGCACGGAAAAATAACCAGGACCAAATGCATTTGGCAAGAAAGATGTTTGTCGGAGCGATTTCACTCAAAGTCGTCGTGATTATAATTAGTGGGTGAAGACCTATTCTGTGTCCTGTAGTTCCGACGGGCAAAAATTCGATCATTACAAAATAAATGGACTAGTCAGGGTTAGCTGGATTAATAAGCAAGGCTTCTACATATTACCCTGTCATGTTATATGCATCACATCATTTCCATGCGGTCATATATAACTTTTAATGTGTGATTAAGATTAATTGTTTAACAAATTATTCATTTCATTAGAGACTCGCTGGTGGAAAATGTCCTATCACCAACTGTAACCGCGCTTTACATCCGCATTCATCCAAATATATGCAACATATCTTTGAGAATTGAAGTTTATAGCTGTTTTTCAGGTATGTTCTAGCAATTCACTGAAATACTATTTGTTCACTAAGGAATGAGAAATGACTGAGAGATCCATCTGACTGAAATATATAGCGAAAATTTTTCAATAAGTGGCTTATGTAAGAGCGAGTTTTTGATTTAGAAATAAATTCTTTACACCCTACCAGCGGGTTTTTCAGGTTTTTTACTAACTTAGGTGCATTGGAATACAAGTAAAAATAAGGCGTGTTTTAGAAGTTATACCTGGACGAGGAATCCAGCATATCATTATGAGGAACAAAGCTATTATAGCGGTATATACTCAGGGCTATCACAATCAAGTTTAGTGTTATCGCTTTATTTCAATGCTTGCTGCACGGTCGGATTCTAACAATTAAAGGAAAATCAAGCGAAAAGTTTCACACGTACAAAAGTATAGGTATGGAACTGGGGCCGTTGTTCGAAAGATGGATAACTTATCCAACGGATAAGTCCTATCCAACGGATAAATCTGGATAGTTATCCATTGGATAAAAACGCGTTGCAGGAAGCGTGGATAGTGAAGTGGATAGCTATCCAATATATAAGTTAAAATTTACCAGAAGAAAACAGGATTATTCTGAAATTTCGTACCACAACGTCAGCTGTTGCTAAGCATTTACAACATTGAATTCATAATCATTACGAATTCTCGAGTATAGTTACTGAATGGAAAAGACTTGAACAAGTGATTTGCTCGAACTTTGCACTTCACATCATAGTGATTTTATTAATTAAACACATTGCAATTTTATTCCTTGACCTTGCAACGCTTTGCCTTTCGGTCCCATAGCAAATTTAGAAACACTATTTTAATGTTTGTGAATGAAATTACTTAGATATTAGCAAGTTTCCTTGGAATAGGTTGAATCTTTCTTTGCATATTCGCGTTTATAAACTGATTAGAAGCGTATAGTAAATTTACCACCTGTTATAAATGCGAGGATGTCCAAAAAATCTTCGGTCGAACGGAATGTGTAGGCAACGTGAAACGCTGCTGCGACAAATTGCACTTCGAAAACATTTTTAATATATAGTGAATACAATCATGATGTGTATTAGTTTGTTGAAACACAGTAAGAAGAATATTGCATTTTTGTCCTATTTTATATAAATGTTTACAGTGTTACCTTGTATCTTTGAATTTATCCACTGGATAGTGGATTTAAACCACCTCCGGACCTTCGACACATTTATCCGGTAGATAGCGATTTTTATCCTCTGGTTTAAGTTATACAAGCTTCGTGCAACCCAAATCACACGCTGGATAAAACTTATCCGTTGGATAGTGAGTTATCCGTTGGATAGCGACTTATCCACCTTTCGAACAACCGGCCCCTGTTCTTTTATTTATCGGAATAACTAGTGATGTGATCTTACATGAAGCATTTTCAGTCATGCTGCTAAACTGTCGTGCTGGCTTCGCCACTGAGTATTTTATTTGCTCGCAGAGCCTCGTCTGCCGAACGTGACCGTCGGCCAGTCTTCACCATGTACGGTGACAGTTATTTTCTGCCTTTTAACTTGCCGACATGCAATGTTTCATTGCACGGTGAGTTTTCAACTTTACTGAAGGCGCTACTATACAATATGCAATTTTCCTTACAACTTGCAATGCAATTATAATTCCGAAAGATGTTAATTTTTAAAGAGTGTTCGAAATACTAAGGAAACGTTAGCAGATCGTAATAGATGTTCGTATTTGACAACTTTAGATGCCTCAGGAGTAGAATGGTTTTGCAATTTGCCAGGAAAGTTGCGTAGTGTAACAGCGCCTTGAGATTGTTTCGGAAAGCTGGTTAAATTTCGATGTAACTTGCAAACATGTAATGTTTCATTGCAATTGCGAGTTGAAAATAAGGGTCATTGGACGGAAGAACGGGACAAGTATCGTAGTTTTCAACATACCTTTTATAAGGGCGGAGACATTGATCTTCCATCCACGGTCGGTTTTATCATTTTTTCTGCTTTTTCTATCATTTCTTTATCCTACAAAAGACACAAAAAAACTTTTAAATCGTGGATCAATCTAACACTTTAAAAGCTTTTTCTCCTAACTGAACTAATTTTTTTATACCGTATAGTTCTGTCAGTTCTAAAATTGTCCTTCATGGAGGTCCAGTAGGGGTCATCCCGTATTGATGCAGTGTTACTACAGGAGGAAACCTGAACTAAACTGACTTTATTTATGCTGGATAGCTGTATCAGTTCTAAACTTCAACCAAACTAATTCTAACAATTCGAAAAAGCTGGGACTTCAGACGAAAAAGGTCAGCCGATTTTGAAAAATCTTAGATGCGGGGTGTTATAAGGCGGTTAGTAATTTCATCATCACCTTCATCCAAGGATGTTCCAGAGCTTCTGAAACCGTGATGCATTTTCTGTGACCAACAGTAAGCAGTTTTGTTATAAGATCCTTAGCTTCACTGCTAACATTCTTCCAGAGGTTGTTCGGAAATTTATACGACCCTTCTTTGACTTGTTTCTCCAATGGGTTATTTGCCTGCTTTGAAAATAAAGAAGATCCGGAAAGTCTAAAACACGTTAACTTTTCATTGACGTACTCCAATTTTGAAATGAGGTTAAGCTACCTCCAGCTTCATTACAAATCGTGTTCACTACGTGAATTTGAGTAAACTGAAGTATATGGCATACCAAACATATAGTATAACTCCCAGGCTCCAGCAGTCACACGATTTCTTGTAGGATCGTTCTTCAGGCTACGGGATTAACATTTTGTAGCGAGGTAACTTGGTGTACCACAGAGTGTTTCCATATAGGAATTCTGATCTAAAAAATTAATTGTTATCATTGAGATCTGTAACAATGAGAAATAACTGAACCTAAAACGTTTGCAGAATGCGCTCTGCTTTCGTAAAACGAAATAACGGAAAAAAATCGGAATTGAGATTATAGTGACTTCCAGGATTTGCTGGCAATGGTCACATCGAATGGTTTCTTCAAAGACAATTTAAAGGGCAATTTAAACACAAGTTCAATACACAACCGACACAAACCTTTATAAGCGTTTCATCATACGAGGAACACAATAAAACATTTTCTGGCTAAGAAGAAAAAGTTAAATTATGGTCGTTAAAGTTTAGGATATAAAGACAGTAGTGATAAATAAATTAGGGCGTGCTTACCTTCCAATCCCTGTTAGTGATGCCATTTTCATGTAAATGCTAAAAATACGAAACAGTATGAATAAAGTTAGTTTAGTTCAGGCTCCTGCAGTAACACTGGATCAATAACAGATGATCCTTAGCTTGGTGTCATTAAAAGCTCCAATCTCTTCGTGATATTTTCCATAAACTTTAGTCATCGCCTGTGAATGAAATATTCCAATTTGTTTAATTCATTCTTCGAAGGCTACACATGGCTACATTCCCGCTAAACGACATCCTCACCTGAAGGCACATTGCTTTCATAGTTGGTTTAGTTGTCAATAGGAATCAGTGATACAGATCGTTAGACAACTCGAGCCTGAAAACAAAATAGAAAAGTCGATCGAATCTTGAATGGTTTCATCCATGATTCTATACTTCTCTACTACATTCTGCAGGACAAATAACATTGCGTGAACTGTGCAGCAATATAGAGAATAGGGGGAAGCCAGACAGAAAAGCACATGGAAAGTAGTTTGAATATTTGCAAACCCTGATAGATAAATGTCGTGGACTCACACATTTGTTATCGGCGTCTCCTCGTCGTTTTGTTCCAACAAGACTCTCAAATAATAGTCACCTGATAGCAGAGATACGTTACTGAGTTTTTCCTATCGAGGAATAAGGGGGGGACGCTTTATGAAGAACTGTTAAAAAGCTAGAGCAGTTAGGCTTATCACTAACCTGTTTCAGTTCATCAGCTAAACATTCATACAGGACTTCAAACTAAAGGTGATTCCAAAAGACAACGTAGTTTCCACTCAGATCTTTTTCCATTGCAAATGCGTGCAAATCAGATTCGAGTGCCCCAGAAGTTCCTCTCGCGTCTGTCACATTGAAAACATAAGAAATTGTTTCATACTCTTTTACGAGAACAGTTTAGAGAAAGAGGTCAGGACTATTGAATTTGTCTTGTTATACTCATAGCGACAGGAAATCCTCCATTACATTTCCATATCCTATATTTTCAACGGAAACTAACCTTAACTTCGAGACTACCTTGTAATTCCAAATCAGGTTGTACGCTGTCAGATCTTGACTGAATCTGTAAAAAAGATCCGCTTAAATATCATTGCTTTTTCATCTTTCAAACGACTAAACATTTTCCCATTTTCTTAATACGAACACTTACTTGTAATAAAAAAACTGGATTTAAATTCTCACATCTTTCCTGGATTTGAATCCTATTTTTGTCCTCCAATGCGAGAGATATCCTTCAAGTTGATTCCTCAACGTTCCCCTCGTTTTTCCAGAGCTCTAAGACACAAGTATAGCACGTGAAATAACAGGCTTATACGTACATGCAAGCATGCATTATGAAATTTTGGAACACGATTGTTGATTTAAAACGTACTTCTGCAAGCTTTACATTGTCACGAATTGATAAACGATCTTCTTCAGTCTCTGGTGGCTGAAGGAAAGATAAAAACTTTCCAACAAAATTGTTTCTTTACAAAAAGGTTTTACACTTCTGAATGAATTACCATTTAATTATTTCCTCAGTGGGGCAGTTGGCACAGTTTAAGGATGAATGATGGAGTTTAGTTACCAAAGCAGTTGATACCACTTAGTCATGAATACGATTGGTTAGTCAGAATCACCTCAATGGGTTTATGTAAATAATGGCCCTCGCAAAAAAGTTTTCAAAAATTTCTTACTTCGTCAGGGCTTTCAAGGTAATAGAGCAAACCAGCAGGCTGTGAAAATCGTATTCAAATTTATTACATAATTGTTTATGAACCAAAAATTATGAACAGGAAATCTCGCATTTAAACTTTCTTGTATATTTTAGACATTAAAAACTATAACTACTTTAATACGAACATTATTCGCGCAAGTAATGCCATTGCTGTTGGATGATGCAATGCCAACAATAATGATTATAAATTACTTATGGAGTATGCTTGTTAGTCTCAATTGAACTATTTACAGATGATTTTCTTGTATGATTGCATGGCGACTTTAGTAATTATAATAACTTGTAGGTACACCACGTAAGTATTAAATACTGCAAAGCTTTCGGTCCGTTAACCCGGACCTTCATCAGTGCAATTACTTGAATACACGTTTGCGCGTCACTTAAATATCATGTTAGTCGTGATTAGTTTGCTCGCGCTATTAATTAAACGGTTTCATTTAATTAAGTTCTAACTAATGCGCGCGCCCTAGACAAGTATTTGACTAAGAGACACCGAAAAGAGCACGCCACGTACTATTAAGTGGCTTTCCCTCTTGGACGATAGTTTGATGTTTATAAATTTCAATAGATTCTCTCATTTTACGAGAGACAGCAAACTTATCGTTTGCTAAAATGGTAGCATCGTTCCATTTAATGCGATGATCATAAGTCCATGCATGGTGAGCTACTGCAGACTTATCCAGTTTACCTTTCTCGCAGTTCGTCTTATGTTCTTTAAGACGTATTGAGAGATTTCTACCGGTCTCTCCAATGTAAACCAAACCACATTCACATGGAATGCGGTACACACCAGGTTTCTGTTGTTCATCGACGCCATCCTTGTGTGTGTAAAGAGCGCGAAACAATTTGTTATTGCTAGAATGGTAAACTTGTATTCCAACTTCTTTTAAAATCCTAACGATTTTATATGAAGCTGGGCCAATATATGGTAAACAGACAGAGGATAGATATTCCGTGTCTTGCCTCTGTCTTTGCTGTTCATTCATAGCATGTTCTATGAATTTCTTAGGATAACCATTCATGTGCAGAACATCCTTCAAATGCTTTAACTCTGAGTCAATGCTATTTGAATCACAAATTGTTTTGGCACGGTTGATTAATGTTTTGCATACTGATCTTTTAATGCTAGGATGGTGAAATGAACTATAATTCAGATATCTGTCAGTGTGTGTTGGTTTTCTATAAACTTTATGGCCCAAAGTCCCGTTCTCTTTTACATCAAATAAGATATCTAAGAAAGATATAGAGTTATCTTTCTGTATTTCTAATGTGAATTTAATTGAAGGGTGTATACTATTAATGTGATCTAAAAATTTATTCAAATTTTCTAAACCATGCGACCAACTACTTAATGTGTCATCTACATATCTAAACCAGAAACCAGGTTTTAAACATGCTGTAGCTATAGCTTTCTTTTCAAATTCTTCCATGAATAAATTAGCCATAACTGGTGATAAGGGACTACCCATAGGAGCACCATGAGTTTGCTCGTAGTATTTCTCCCGCCACTGAAAACTAGTTGTATTCAGGCACAATTTCAGTAGTTCATATATACTCTCAGGAGAAAGGCTAGTCCTTTTAGAGAGGGTATCATCTGAAAGCAGCCTGTCTTTCGCAATGTTACACGCCTCATCTACTGGTACATTAGTAAATAAACTAACTACATCGAAACTGACAAGAATTTCATTTTTACCTAATCTAACATCTTGCATATTCGTAACAAATTCTTTAGAATTAACTACATGATGTTCAGTTTGACCAACAACTGGTTTTAAAATTCTAGCAAGATATTTAGCTAAATTATAAGTCGGTGAACCTTGGGATGCAACTATAGGCCTAAGAGGTACACCTGATTTATGTATTTTGGGTAAACCATAAAATTTTGGGCACACACTACATGAAGGTCTCAAATAATCATGAAGGTTTTGAGACAAAATACCTGATTTCCTAAGTTCAGATAGTTTAGAACATACTTTACGTTCAATATTGGCTGTAGGATCACGTTTTAGCTCTTTATATGTTGGAGTTTCAAGAAGAGCATGGATTTTACTTTCGTACTCTGCACGATTTAATAAAACCGTAGCATTACCCTTATCAGCCTTTAAAATATGTATAGACTTATCTGCCCTTAGGTTCCTCACTGCATCCTTCTGCTCCTTGGAAAGATTAGACTTGGGTAAAGTTGTACGTCGCAAGACCTCAGTTACTTTAACACGAATGTTAATTTTGCTGTTGCAAAAAGAATGATAGATGCTTCTTTTACGCGTACCTTTAATAAAGCTCGCTCAACACAGATCGCCAAATACACAAGATTGACGTCCGAAAGATCAAAAGATAAAAGAAGACAAGAAGATTTGGCTGTTGACACTCTAAGACGCACTGTTGTTAACCAAAATGCGCGAAAACTTATGCCGGTTGAAGAAGAAGTCTTGGCATTGGGTTTAAATTTCGCTGTTGTACCACACAAGATTCCTAAAGAAGAAATCGTTCAACATCTGGAACCAAAGTTGAATCATCTCAGAGATGATATAGCATCCAACATTCGTGTTAAAGTAACTGAGGTCTTGCGACGTACAACTTTACCCAAGTCTAATCTTTCCAAGGAGCAGAAGGATGCAGTGAGGAACCTAAGGGCAGATAAGTCTATACATATTTTAAAGGCTGATAAGGGTAATGCTACGGTTTTATTAAATCGTGCAGAGTACGAAAGTAAAATCCATGCTCTTCTTGAAACTCCAACATATAAAGAGCTAAAACGTGATCCTACAGCCATATTGAACGTAAAGTATGTTCTAAACTATCTGAACTTAGGAAATCAGGTATTTTGTCTCAAAACCTTCATGATTATTTGAGACCTTCATGTAGTGTGTGC